CCTCCTTCACACACATACATGGGGAGATACCACGGATGAGAGATGGGGGGAAGGGACAAGACGAAGGAGCAGGAGGCGAGGGAGTAGACCAAGATCGCAATAGCGAATTCCAAAAAATAGTCCCTTGCCAAGTGTCAAATCAATGTCTGTCCCAGAAATGTTGAATCAGATCCTGGGCAATCTGCCCAACCTAACCTCTGCCTGTATTCCCTACTGATATCCTCTCTTACTCTCGTAGCTGAAGAAGAAGGTAAGAAAGAGAAGGAAGAAGGAGAAAGGAGAGAGAGAGAGAGAGAAATGGAGGAGGAAGAGAAGATGACGTCCTCCTTGCTATCTCACTGGCAGGTAGCTGTCACCGTACTGACTGTGGTCTTCGTCGTGTGCAGGTACCGTGCAGAGCCCAACTATGGCGCCAGGTAAGTTTGTCGCTTGCAGGTAAGGCCTCCGCCTCTCTCCGCTACCTACTCCGCTACTCCCTACTCCGTAGCTTGGCGCAGAAACAATGCTGCTTCAACCAGCAGCGTGTCGCTCCAGAAGTGAGCTACTCGAACTGTCCTTGCCCAGCCGCTGCCCAACTATTTGTCGTGTTGGGCCGGCTGGGCCTACCTGATGCTGGCCTAAAAAAACGGCCCAGCTGGTCTGGGTCCCTACTGGACGTCCAGACCACGCTGCTGATGCAGCAAGGCGCAGAAATGCGCCTGGCCTAAAATCGGCCCGGTACCTATGCACCTAGCCAAGGCGTCGCCTTGGGACCTGCAGGACCGAAACGACGGCTGGTTTGGAGCCAAAATGCGCCTGGCCTCATTTCGGGCCTGCCTCTGGTGTACCCCCGTCCCAAGGTCCGGCCTTGGGGCTGCAAGTCCGAAACGGCACCTGACAGACAAAGTAAGACAACACACACACACAAAAAGGTAAGTAAACTAAACCTATCTAACTAGTGTGCTACCTATGGCCTGAAGGGCCGCCGTGGGCCTCCAGGGCGCGTGTTGTATGGTACGCGGCCTGGGGGCCTCTCAGCAACCGTCGGATCCCTCAAATGGGGCCCGTGTGCAAGCGCAGCATGCAACATAACCCCACACTCGCCTCCTTCCCTGAAGACCACCAGATCGCCCGCATTACCCCCTAGCGCCCCGCAGCCCGGCTATGGCCGCCTGCGCCCCGCTGCCCTGCAGTGCCCCACTTCACCGCTATGCGCCCCATCAGCGCCCTTGGCTGCAGCGCAGCATCAAGCAGTAGCGCAGCAGCACTTCCGCATTGCCTGCACTGGCCAGAATGCCTGGCCTGGGCTGCCTCACTTCTTTTATGGAAGTGGCAGCCTCCTGGATGCTGCGTGTGGCCTGGCTGGAAGCTTCCAGTAGCTTCCGGTTGGGCCTCAGACCTTGCGCCCAGGCCTAACACTACAGTTGAGGGCGTGGGCCCTTTTCAGTTGGGCACGGCCTGAGTCTCTGGACTTGGGCTGTTTGCTGCATCTCTGCAGGGCTCCCAGGTAGGTGCGTCGGCAGTACTGCTTTTCCAAAGGCCGATGGCCTGCTTCCCAATGTATCGGCCCTGCTTTGTGTGTATGTGCCGAGGCACAATTGTGAAGGCTTGGGCCAACTGTACGACGCAGCTTAGTGAGGCTCATGCTTCTACCCAACCAATTGGCCTGCTGTGTGAGCCTGAATACCCACATATGGAAATGTCAAAATTTGGCCTTCGACGAATATTCAGGCCCGCCTTCACTTAAGGAAGGCACTCGGCTTGCTGGGGCCTTAGCCTTGAACATGTGATGTCTGATAGGGCCCCTTGAGGGCTCGTTCCTCACATTCCATCCCCCTTAGCTTCGAAAGTCCATTGAGATGCTTCATGCTGGTGCCTTCCCCTTCAGTTGCTTCTCATAATCTGCCACAATCTGAGGAGTTGTCTTGACAAGTTCCTCCCTTCAAATCCATCGATCTTCCTTAGGATCAGTATGATGCCTGAAATGTACTCTATATTCCCTTTGCAGGTTTAGGAGGTCTTCCCCTGCCAGGTGGCTTGGGAACAGGCGTGTCTTTGTGATCCAGGATGTCGTGAACATCCACGTGGCCATCCATGGTTGGGGGCAGCATAGATCTCCGTGATGGGAATTGTGCTGTCTTGGTGAAAGGTGCAAGCTTGGAGGCGTGAAAAATAGTGTAGGTGCGTAGGTGACCAGGGATACGAATGACGTACAAGGGACCATCCAAATCATTCCCCACAATGTCCAAGACTTCCCAGGACCGAAATACTGAGGCATTAGTTTCCTAGAGATGTGGAACTCCTGTCCCAACTCACTAGCCTTGACCCAGACACGTTCCCCTACCTGAGATGTGGACTGCCTGTGACATTTGTTCTCAGAAGCAATCATAGCTTCCTGAGATTTCTTGATGTGTTCGACAGTCTGCTGCGACAATTTCTCATACTGGACACCAAATTCAATGGTTCTGGGAGTTGCAGCAGTTCGGTTTTCAGGCAGGAGGAAGTCTATAGCAGATCTAGGCTTCCATCCCTGATGGATTTGATTAGGACTAACGACGGTGGTGTTGTGTACATCATTATTGTACAGACTGGCGATGAGAGGTAGTTTCTTATCCCAATCATCCTGGTTGGGCTTGATATAATGCCTCAGTAGATGCTGCACCACTCGGTTCATCTGTTCAGCCTGGCCATTGGCTTCGGGATGATTCCCAGAAGTCATCTGAAGCTGGCTGCCCATCTGTTCAACGACCTTCTTCTACATCTCACTGGTAAACCGGACATCTCTATCACTAACAACGGTCTTTGGCAGTCCAAAGTCACGCACCCAGTTGTCCATGAACAACTTAATGACGTGCTCAGTCCTAGCAGTCTCCGGCATGGCAATTAGTCTAGCATATTTAGTAAATAGATCCACTATGACGAAGATGTGCCTCTTGCCATTCTTGCTCGTTACGAGAGTATCCATGAAGTTCATGAAGATACTCTGCCCTGGGCCAGCAGGAATGGGTAGCGGCTTGAGTAACCCAAGTGGAGCTTGAGT